TTATTATCCCTGTCTTTATGGATATGAAAGGTGCATAGTTGACAGTAAATCGATATAACTTGTATCTCGCTGAAAAACCGCCAAGGTTTCATAAAACCGGCTAAAAATCCCGCCGCCAGCAAAGCAATAATTTATCTCGCTAAACAGAGCAAAAAACCGCTAAGTTTAGCGGGAAAACCGCTAAATTGGCAACACTGCTCGTGGGTCGACATTTTGGTTTGAAGAAGGCGCGTAGCGCACATCCCGCATAATATTGGAACTTTCTCTCCAATTAATTCTTAAATGTATTGCAAAAGGGTACAAAAAAGCGGTTTGTTTTAGCAACGCCTAAAAGGTTTTGATTGTTTTTCAATACTTTTACCTGTACTAGAACAGATGCGACGGCCAGCGACGCACAGGATTGGTTGCCGTTCCTTCGCTAAACGCAGGAACTGCTCCCCGCGTCGTAGTAAATCGTACCCCGTATCCCGCGCGTAGGGACGCTTCAGGGAATGCGTAGCTACTTCCGCTCGTCGGTGGTTGGCTCCGGACGTCGCTGAAACGGGTGACGGGTGTCAAGTTTGCGATGACGTAGCGGCGTCAAAGTGGGCAGAGCCGCCACGTGAGTGTTGCTAGGATACGCTCCTCCTTTGCATTACGTCACTTCCATGTACCTTTTCTCAAATGTCCAACCTAGCGATCCTGATGTACCGCCCGTGTGACAGCACGGATGAGTGCTCAGCCTGAGTTGATTGTACCTTCGTGTGTGCACAAAACGACCACGCTCGGCTGTGACGATTAGAGATCCAAAGGTAAGTCTGTATTCCTTACTTGGAGCATTGTAAATTGCCAATGCTTGGTCCGTATCACTTCATTGCAACTTTTCATCGACCCACGACTCATCGACAACATTTCCCCGCTGCTCGTTAAATCAACTACTACTACGACGCCCGTTTGGGCGTCGAAGGCATAGTCGTGCGCCCGTCATGCAACGTGAAGGCAACTTCGGCTTCGCTCAAGGAGTTTTAATTTAATCTCAGGCTCGAGTAGGCACCCCACCTAGTCGGAATCGCCGATCGTTAAGTAAACTAGACTTTGCAATCGGGAGAATGCGCCACCGCTGCGTTGATGAGGCTCATGAAGCCCTCTTCACAAGTCTGCGACATAAATGCCACAAAAAAGTCAATTTCTAAGGCTCTGTCGAGAAAAAGACGCTGCCGATGAAACGATCTGTCGATAAAACGTTGCTTGTCGATGAAACGATCTGTCAATACCGACAAGACGGATGGCAGTTTTGAAAAGCGCGGATCTTTACTAGGTTCAGCATATAGAGCTCACACAAACTCACCGTCTTGATCGCCAACTACCATCGACTTCTGATCGTTTCGTTGTCCCTGCTTCAAGGAACTTGTAAGAGCAACTCGCCGACGACAGCACCGACCTGAGCCGCAAGCGTAGCCCAACCCAGAGTTCGAACATCGAATATTCGTAATTCCAGGTGAAGCGCACCAGGCGCGCGTCTTTTTTTTTTTTTTTTCAGAAGGTTTTTTTGTCACAATGTTTTCTTTTATACCTTTTACGAGTTTGTTTAGTCCTTTTTTTATTATTTGGGTCAACTAATAGCTCGTGGGGAAGAGGCCACAATGCTCTGTTCACGTTCGCAGATTACGTATTTGGTCCCCGACATATAATCCACAAAAATACGCGAAAACACAAATAATAAAAAGAGAAGCACTCAAGTTATTTTCTTCTCGCGATTGGTTGCTTTTCTTGTCATTACTCTGTGTGTCAGTGGAGGTTCTTGAATTCCAGCTTCGTGCTCTTCCAATTTTTCTTGAAGGTTAATGTTGGCTGTAATATAATACATTACACCCCTTTTTCTTTGGAACAACCATAGGTACTCCCAAAAGTGTATTCGTTCCGAAAAGGGGGGGGGGGGGGGGATATGCAGACACGTGGTGACTTGTTTGTTCAAGCCAGTGTATTATTCGATTGAAGTGTATTGCTTAGCCTTTATGGTCGTGCAAAAAATTACTGAATTATTTGCGAAAGAAAGAGAAAATGAGAGAGCACAGTCTATAAAACCAGATTTCAAAATAATAAACCATATGCAACAAATCTTACAAACTGATGACACACAAAGAAATTACTCCGTAGAAGCTGAACTGTTCTCGAAGTTCATATCCTCAGCCTTTCGCAGTCAAGTAATAATGCAATTCAAATTGGCGCAAGTGACGTTCGTTCTCTTTTGAAAGTAACCGTAACGGTATATCGTGACTTTTCTAGGACGATAACGAATCTCATTAACCCGTTAATTTTTGACAATCTTAAAAATAAAGCTATTTTGTTACTTTTTTTTTTTTTTTTTTTTTGTAACGGGCACACTTGTGCTTGGGCCCCACAGGTGCCAGAAAACCCAATACTCAATAACTTTGCACCGGCCCTTGAAGCTGACAGTGCGGTGCGAGCTACACGTTTGCCGGACCAGACAACCGCCTCCATTTCATCGCCTGACAGCGCCCTCTGCGTGGATATGGCAGGCAGAGTGGGCATGCGGCGAAAGATCGACGTTTGAGTGGTCCAACGGGATCGTAGCTTCCACCACCCTGCCAGCTTTGGCCCTTTGCATCTGCCATCAAAGAAACATTTTTTAGCGTTCAATCTATTTGGGTAAGTAATTTTGACTGGTTTTAAATGCCTCATACCTTTGTAACGTGGGTGTATTAAGTAGTTCACGACGATGCCGAGGAAAACTACAATGAAATCCATGCCTTTAAAAGTATTATTTAATATTTTAAGAACTCGAATTCGTTAATTATTCACTTATATTGAACTCTAACAATTTTACTTTGACACAGACCACTACGGCAGCAGGCTTCTTTATTGTGCAATGAGTCGTTTTTGCAGTAACGAGTTTGCCCGTTTTCCCGGAAACACCCTCTTTATGTCAAAAGAAATATTTTATACATTTTGGAATAGAACTCCACCTGCAGCGATTCTGGCGCATCAGGCAATAGTGACAACCACTGTACAGTCAGCGTAGATTAAGACATATTTAGATGAATTATGCCGATACAGTGTTTAAATACATGATTATAGACCTTTCCAGAAACAGCTCGCTGGCCGCCGCCATTTTGCGACTCGAGCGACCCCTATCAGCCAAAAATTTCTGCCACCCGCCTGAGCTGTGGAAACCCGGTCAGCGCGACTCCCCACCTGCATTGTGTTTTCGGAAATCGCCGACTTTCCTTGAAAGTGTTTACTCTATTTGCCTGTTCAGGATGCTTGCGTGTTTTTGTGATCTTCCATTGTGAGAACCAGGGAATACCAGGGCTTGTAGCCTGCTGGACCTTCGCAGGAAACGAACGAAGAGAGCGAGCGAAGAAAGCGAGCGTCAAGCAGCCCGCGACGCTGGCGGTTCGACGTTCTTCAAGGATTATTTCCGTTGAGATAATCTCCGAAAAGCCTTCCCGGATATGTTCCCGGTCCTGGCGAGAAGTAGCTGATAGGGTTTGGGGTATGGCAACTAAATAGACACGTTCGTTCATTTGCTTTAGTGCTGTGTAAAAAAAACATCACTCTTCAAAACGTACCCCAAGACAAGCCGGATTCCGTCCGATCGTCGTGAAGTGACTATCGTCAACACTGTATATTGGATATGCTGTGTTATTTGAGACCTTTCTCAAATCCTGTTCGGATAACGCGGCACTATGGGGTACGTACAATATATGTTGTTCGATTGATGAGACTCGTTGAATTTCATATAGTGAGGGCGAAAATACCCACGCAGTTCGGCTATCCTCAGGTGTGGTCAAATATGTTAGGCAGTTAAGATCTTTGTAGGTTGACACGGCTGAGTGTATGGTGCCGTTAAAAAGATCAACCTAAAATGAAACAAACATCCCAGTTGCATTTGTTCTGTCGCGCACAGACTCGCCGAAAATAGCTTTCATTTGTTTGTTTTTGTTCTCAAAAATAGTTCTACGCTTTCCTAATAATTTCGAGAAAATCTTTTCGCCATAGAACACAAAAGAAAAATAAAGCGAGGCGATTTTGGCGCTACCAGCGTTCGAAGTTTCTCCTACGCAGGCTTCCACAGCCTACTGACGAGAAAACCCACAGCTCAGCGCAGTCGGGCAACACTGACGTACACTCTCAAAACCAGGGATGCGCGCTGGAAATCGCTTCGTTCGAGACTGCCGCTGGAAAGGTCTATACACAGTGGAGTTAATTATGCCTTTAGTAAAACAAATATATATGAACCGTCTACTACAAAAAGAAGTTCAAAGAAATAAGGGCCTGACGAATCCCAGTGAAACTAGATGAATACCAAATAAATAGCACTAAAAGTATGAATATCCTAAATCAACAAAACCGCTTTGATGAAAGGTGAAACGAAATGTTTATGAACACTAAATGAATAGCACTAAAAGTGTGAATATCCTCAATGATCAGGACCGTCTTCGTGAATATGCAACAAAAAAAATAATAATAAAATCATGCAAAAGAAAAACATAGATACAAGTATTTCATGTAGCAAGCACATTGAAGGATGTCATGGGAATTCGGCAACTGCAACCGGTCAAAATTAAAAAGGACGAAGAATATTAAGAAATGAGATAGGAAATAGCACTGCATTTCTAAATCTTCGAGTCATGTATATTCTGTTGCTGTCCTATGAGTAAAGCAATATTTTCCAGCTTGGTGTGTTAAATAGTTTGGAATATAATTTTATTTTTACATCTTAAAATTCTGTTGACCCCTCCGCATTACTAAGTTTTTCTTATAGTTTCTTAACTTTTGCAATATCCAAAATTGCTGCTATTGAAAGTCGTTAGTTATTTTATTAATTTGTGTATTTATGGTCATGAGTAGGTCGACTTGTAAGGAACACAAGTGGCCCTACAGACAACCCAGAGACGCCAGGTGCAGCACGAGATTAATGACTCTAAATGAATATAAGAATACTAGGCTTCAAGTAATTATTTTTTCGTGTACAAAAAAGAACCAGGGTCGCTTCGTCTAAGGTAAATTCACGATTTAATCTGTGTTTACGCGATACATAATAGGCCGAAATATTTTCCAACCATTCGAAACCTGCACTGCTCGCAAGTAGAGCTCCTGTAGGTCTATTGCCGAACGAAATGAACACACGTCGGTGCTCGCGTATTTTGTTTAAACCCCATTCACAACTATGATGCACGTTGCTGTTTCGATCACTTGCGATGTAACTTCCGATGAGTGTGTAAATTGCTATAAGTCGCAAACGCTCTACCGCAGGTCTCGCACTTGAACGGCTTCTCTCCTTTGTGAATTTTAACGTGAGATATCAAGTGAGCCTTCTGCACAAACATTTTCTTGCACGCACCGCAACTGAAGGGCCTCTCTCCTGTGTGAGTCCTTTCATGAACCGCCAAACTGCCTTTCTGAGTAAACGCTCTGCTGCACGTGTTGCACTTGAACGGCTTCTCCCCGGTGTGAATTCTATCGTGAGCTGTCAAGTGAGACTTCCGCACGAACGTTTTCTTGCAGGCACCGCAACTGAAGGGCCTCTCTCCAGTGTGTGTCCTCTCGTGGACGGCGACATCCGATGCGGAAGAGCATGAGTAAGGACAGAAGCAACACGGGTGCTTGTCCGGTCGTCGGTGCGTTTGCTGCTTGTGTGGGCGCGACCAGTTAGTCGGGGGAGAGGTGTCACCCCTGCGGCTGTCACGGTCGATGGTATCCACTTTGTCGCCAGAGTATGCTTCGATCAAGTCTGTTGGGATGACACAACAGAGCATGAAACGTCGGCGCTGTTTTTATTGGTCTGAACATCAATTTTGAATACCTAGATGAACATGGTCTAGAATACGTACATTATGCCGGTGCGGCCTAAAGTAGGTATTCATTCATTTGAGACGTTAAAAAGGTTCAATCGTAATGCTTGTAAAGGTCTACAGGCAATCGTTTAAGACTCCACTCTGGCAGCCCCATGCTGCCGCAGCTGTGGTGGCTTGCGCGTTCTCCTAACCAAGTGCGGAAGGGAAGTCAAGCCGCCGCGGCTGCTGCTGCACAGTGTTGGCAGTTACGTGTTACAAGTAACGTCGTTATTGGTAACGCCTTTCTTCTTTCAGTAACGTAGTGACGTATTCATTACTTTTCTAAATCTACAAATTTTCTAAATTTGGCCTGTCTTTTCCCCACGCGAAAATTTCCGCTTTAGAAAAACTCCAACCACCGCCTGTCATGTTAAAGTCGAAACACGCTGTCGCCAAAAGAAAACAAAAGCGCTGTTACCGTCAATTTATAAATAAAAAGTAACGCAAAAGTAACGTGCGTTACTTTCTGTCGGCGACAGTATCGCGCTCCTTTATTTCGCAAATAACGTAGTTCTTTATTTTTTTTACGGTAACGGCTACAACACTGCGGCTGCATACCGCTGCGAGTACGGACCGCTGGGTGATAGCGTGTTGACATTAATAATGATCGCGACTGTGTATTAAGTAACGCTGGAAGGGTCATTCACACACCCACAAATTATTAGGTTACACAAAATAGTATTCAATAAGCTCGTGGAATAATCGTTGTGTGCCTTAGAAACTTGAAACATCGCCAAGGTACGCAGCGATTATTTTATGTGCGATTTGAAACAGCAAAAAACGCGGTTCTATACCGACAATGATGTGGACATTTGCCAGTCTAAAGCTAAACTTCCATTTCACTTTTTGAGGAAGTGTTCGTGGTAACGGGGGGGGGGGGGGGGGGGGGGGGGTAGGGGGGGGGAGCTGCGAGCCACACTCTAACACACGAAGAGCCGCATCTTGGCCACCCCTGTTCTAAAGCTTCAATCATTTGGAACAGCCAAACATCTTTAGGGCTATTTCATGCGTCGAAAATTATTTATAGCATTTGTGAAAGCTACTCGATCAACCGGAACTGAAGGAAAAAATACAATTTTGTGATATAAACAACTCAGCATGGTACACTTCTCTGATATCAAATACTATGTATGCGGTATAATTTTTCGGCTTGGTGCAGGCCGCTAATTAAAACTTAATGAAGTTTCTACGTGGGGAAAACTTTGTGTACCACATCAGATTGCTTACGTTTTCCGTCTTCTGGAAAACCGAGCCTACAAAAAGGTTTTCTTTGCGTGTGGGACCGTTCATGAATCTGTGAGGGTGTGCTAAGAGGGTGCGAAGCTGGATGAGTGTTATCCCGTGTGCGTCTTCTAGTACCTGCTGTTGGTAGTTCTGAGGGCACCATAAGATTGGCGGCAGAAGTCGCACCGCCGTCCGTCCTCCCCTCCTCGTCCATCTTCAATGGTTGCCTCTGCAATTCGGCTCCTTGGAAGGAGAGCTCCGCCCCCTTGTCCTCGCAGTCCGTTCTCTGCCATTCGAAGTCGAATGCTGCGTGGGCAAGTTCGGTTAGGACTGAAGATCAAATTTTGTTTTGTTAATTTTTTTATACTATACCAATACAGAAGCTCAATCACAACGAAACTTAAGGAACAAGCAAACATAAACACACCATGCTGATGAAGTAGAGAAATTCAGGGGTTTGAGTTGATATTGCGGTGGAATTCAAAAAGTAAAATAATCATATCACGATCAACCACGCACATCACAACTGGATACTGAGCATCCCGAAAAAGTCGATTGTAAAAAATGCACGCGAATCAAACATAAAAGCGATCCTTCTCTATTAAGCACGAGATTCAAAGGTTTTACTTCACCTTTAAACACATGTTAAAAAGGATTACGTCGATACAGTTTCACAGAAATCGACAAAGACAAAACTGGGTACGATCAAGGAGCGTGGTTTAGTCGCATCGCTCTTGCTACGTAGTGCTGAAAAAAGGCAGGCATGCCACAAAACCAACAACTGCACAGTATATCACCGCCGCAGGCTTTGGGAATTACACGTTAACAAAACGGACACGGTGTGTCGGCGAATGAAGGTGGGGAAGGGAATAAAAATGTCGCATGTAGTTGGCTGAGCTGTGGCCATTCCCTATTTGATCGGACTATAGTCGGTTACAAGTCAAGAAGGTAGGAGAAGCTCCTCCCACAAGTGTGATGCGCCCGTTTCAAATCTCTCCGCAGTCGAAAGAAGAGTTCACTGGAAACGCTCCTTGTTCCGCTTCAATGGATTCCCACTTGTCTCCGATCCCACTTTTTAAGAAAGCAGCCTTTGTATCCATCGGGGGGAAGCTAATCCCCCAAAGTCGTATTTGTTTCCGTCGGTGGGGGAGAACTATAATCTCTATTTCATGGCTTCCACAATGCTAAGTCAAAGTCGAAAGATAAAGCAAATATGTACAGGAAGGCAAGACCCTCCTCGCGCGTTGTCCGCGACGTCACGGAAACGGTGAGACACTATTGGATGCAAAGGTGGCGGAGGGATATCTGATTCCCTTTGAGGGGCATTTGCCGCTACCTTCTTAACCTGTAACTGACTATAGTTGGTTCCATTCATCTGGGGGAAAATGTAGCCCGCAGGTCTGGCACTGCCAAAGTGTAGCTGGCTGGCGGCTGGCCGTCCTTCCTAGGCAGCGAAGGGTCGATCACATTCGCCTTAAGAGCATTTCCGGTTAGCTCGGCCTGCAAAGTATAGAAGAATGAGTATTAACAAACGGGCGCCAACACAAATTACTTTACCTGCCATCAGATATCGTCACATTCGATGAGCAAATCTAAAACTGAAGGGTACCAGTGCTGGGAACCGGTCTAGTTGGCTATTCATTACTTGATCAAACTGCGGAGTAAATGATTACGAACTACGACGCAGAAACGAGAAGAAAAAAAAGGCAACAAAAAGGGAAAACACGCATCTGCAGTTCAGTTTGATCAAGTCAAGAACTGAAGGCCACTTTCGGAATTAAACGCGGCGTGGATAACAGCACGCTTTGTCAGTACGAGTACCTGCACGAAATTTCAATCTGAAGGACACGAAAAAATTAAGTCCCATGAGACTATACCATTTCCAAGTGTGTATGTTTTAGCCAAATACCAACGACAAATTTCAAATTTCAGCGAGAAATGTTTCATTATATATGCAACGTCTAAGAGCTAGGGGAAAGGAAAATGTTAGCCGGTTGCGTCAGTGCTGCACCCACGCGACTAATGCTATCATTAATAAAATGAAATGCAGTGTAGATTAATCAATCAGACTCGCGTTTTGCCAAAAACTAACATAAGCGGGGCTCACTTAGGAAAAATGGGTTTTAGTTCGATACTTGGTTCACGTTCACGAGTTTCTCAGACTCGCATTGCTAAAGAGCCCTTTAGATCACCCAGAAGTTGATTACGAAATGTTATAATTTGGTTAATTGATCACCTAGTATACATTGATTACCATTCATCACCAGTATAGGGTTTACAGTCCCTATTGCAAGACAAGTATCTTTTTTCTCATTTCTTCTCACTCAAACGAGCTTAGAGAGGCATTCCCCTCTGCTTCGTCCCCATTAAAAAGAATCTGAAAGACTTGTAGAAAAATATGAGATAGAGGTTGAATTCCAGCTAGTTTTATTCAGCAAATCTGAATATTGCGTTCGTTTTCTCCGAAAATGTAACCAAACGCGGGAAAACACGCAAAGCCTCCGTCTAGTCGTAAAGTCATTATAGGATCTTTCGGCCGCATTTTCAACACCTATCGATCTCCTCTGTAACGCCCTCCCGGACCGTGTTGAGGGAATGGTTCAGGCTGGAACATGGCAATTATTACAGATTTTGTTCAGGCTTGTTTTACCATCTAGGCTACAAGATAACATCCTTCTTTTCCAAACCAGTTTTTGCGGTCGGTGTTTGGTCCATGGTGAGAACGATAGAATTCTCGGGTGCTGATTGAACGTGATGTCCCAACGTTTTTCTGGGCGAGAGTTATCGACCAATGATATATCTTAAGTTGGTTTACAAGTTCTTTTGGTGGGAACTACTCATTAACACACGGATGGTGACAGGAGTCCCGCAGTAATATTTGTTCCGAGTGTACATAGGAGAATTTGAGCTCTTTACGGCAGCAGAGCTTGAGATTTGCAGAGGGAGCGCCCGTTGTCGATCGCATCAAACGGGAAGTATAGCAGACGATTATAGTTTCAGCTTGCGTCCCGGATCACTTCGTCACGTTACTCGCCATTTGCCAGAGGGCTGCCTTTATTCCGGTCCGTTAACGGAATAAAGTATTTTCTTGTTTTCTTTTTGTCTGCGAATGACGCTTCGTAGCAGACAAATTCTATTGTTCACTTACGTTACCAGACTAATCATCTCCTGACATTTTCTGACTCGCTCCGTCAAGTCCAGGTAACACTGCTCGAACACCAAACAAAAGACAATGTGCGGTCTGAGACGAGTTTTTTTTTTTTTTTTTTTTTTTCGTGTCTTCTTATATTGGGCCTACCAAAACTGTTTGTAGACATGTTCGAAGCACTCATATATGTGCGCTTCTAACACGTCTGCGGATAGTTTTGGTAGGCCCAATATGAGAGTACTGAGATAAAGGAACCAATTTTGGCAGTTGACACACTTGCAACCGCTTACGACCGGAGGGGCTTGTGAACCACCATCTTCTGACCGCCGATGGCCGGCCGCTTCTCTGTCGGTTCTGTGTGGTCGCCAATGTTTTAAGCACCTGTGGTTTGTAAGCATGGCAATAAGAAATGTGTAGATCTGCCATTACTTCCGCAAACAATAAACAGAACGCGCACATGGCACACATTGTTTCAGTTTTAGAAATAAGACAGCACCTCCAGACATATTGACATAATACAACAAAAGGAAGACACTATTCAGTGTGTCCGCATTAAGACATACGTAGAGAGATTATACAGTATAAATAAATAAGTGGATGAAAGCCTCCGCTAGGCTTTGAAAAGGAAGAGGGGTGAGGGCGGTTGGTCGGCAAAGTAAGGTAAGACGGACAATGGAAAATTCTCGCGCAGCAGGCTCCACTGTAGCCATCTATCTCATTTGATCTGGCTCTGTCGCATTTGTGTAAAGACAAAATGTAGCTCAAAGGTCTTGCACCGCCGAAAAGGGACTCGGCTGGTGAACGGCTACCTTTGCAAAGCAGCGAAGTGTCGTTCTCATGTGTGTCGAAATCCTTGCCTAGTTTGATCTGCGAGGTTTAGAAAGACGACGATTAATAAACAGTAAAGAACGGAAGGCGACAATACTTGTTTGTAACCTTCACTACTCATATTCAGCAATACTGAAACTGGGTGCGAAATTTGGAAACAGGTATGTCAAATAAAACATAAAGGAGCACAATTAAGCTTTACATTTGAATGAGATGATTATGCACTCATCAGCCCAAACCGGTTATGTTAAGAGACCGCCCAGCGAATCGGTAAACGATATTTACCGTCCATTTCAACCCCTGCTATATTATGCTGTGATTGAAATCCTGTTCACGTGAATTTGACACGCCTTATTTTGAAAACGGGATCAGTATTTAAACTTGGTTAGGGGCTGAGGCGAATAAGGATGAGATCAATAAGATCTCAGATTAATGAAGGTGCACAGAGTACAGCTGCATGTGCGTCTGCGGGTGTCAGCCATCCCAGTTTTCTCTTTTTCTTGGAAGTAGTTGAGATTTCTATGTCTGCAGTGTCAATCTTCTTTCCCTCGTCATTCTGCACTGCCTTGGCCAACTGTTAAAGAGACACATCACGTATGAGATTAATAGATTGTAGTGTTTTCTAGCTGAGGAACAACCTGAGGCGTCTACTTCTGCCGGTTGATAGCTCCAGTCCTGAGCAACATGACAGCAAGGCTGAAGAGGCAGCGGTGCACACTAAACTTTTTTACACCCCTTAGGGGTGTAAACCACTTGTCCCAGGACGAGCACCCTTTGAGGGTGCAAACGAGCACCCCTGTACCAAAGCACCCTATACACTCCGTGCGGGAACTATAGGGGGGCGCTTTGAAAAACGCGCGCAGCGCCGCTAGCGGAGGAGCTGGCGTTTGACTGTGAGGCGCGTTCAGCAGTCTGCGGCGCCTTTTCGCATGCCAAGCTGTGGCGGCGGAAGCGCGCACGGACGAAACTTTTGCTTTTTGAGCCGACAAGTTGAGGGTGACGTTGCATGAGTGCTGGGGCAGAAGGGCATTTAGCTGTTCTCCACTTCTTATATATTGGGTTTGAGTCGTTATTAGGGGTAATTTCCCTAGTTGCGGCCGAAAAAGGAGTTGGAGCAATTTTCCGAAAACAAGACGGCCGCCACCTGAATTGCTCCGAGTGGAAAATTTATTTCGCTCGACGCTGTAAACGTAGGACTGCTGGAACGATGATATTTGGAGGCGAGTGAGATGTTCACTAAGTTTGTGCACGAAGAGTGGCAAGTTTCTTTAAGACAGCAGGTGTGAAAGTTATGTTTCTAACGAATAAAGAAACAAAGCTGTACGGGATATCCAATATTGGACCCAAAATGTTATGTTATAGCGGGCTGTGCAAAATGCAGATTTGGGCACACAGGTGCTTGGACTTGACAGTAACATGACACAGCACTTATTATACAAAAAAAAAAAGAAGAAAAGGTGGCATAGGGAAACCAGGTTAAAATTTGGTTTGGGCGGCGTAACTCAATGGGAACCGGTTTTGACCATGAAAAGGCTGTCAAGAGAATACCACTGGTCGGGGGAGGTGGAGACTTTATAGGTAGGAAGGGACTAGTGGACTGTACTTCCAATTGAAACAACTTTACGGAAGGTGGTTCCAAAGCCGAAGAAACAAAGTTGTCGGCCAAAACACGGTTTGGCCGCCAAGGGCTTTTGCGGTCAGCTGTTGTGTAATAACCTGTTGTGCGAGGTGCTGATTTTCGGCACACAGGTACTTTGACATGACCATAACTTGACACAACACTTATTATAACAAAACGAGTTGGCATAGCGAAACCAGGTGGAAATTTAGTTTGGGCGGCGTAACTAAATGGGAACTGTCTTCGACCGTCAAAGGCTGTCAGATAATGCCACTCATCGTGGGAGGTGCACACTTTACAGGTAGGAAGGGACGAGTGTACGGTACTTCCAGTTCGAACCACTTTGCGATAGGTGGCTCTAAAGCGGAGAAAAAAAATTGTTGTCTACAGAACTTGGGGTGTCGGCGTTTCCACATCCAAAAGGAGGCTGATCAAGAAAGAAAGCACACCATAAACTTCCATACTCAAACGTCGATTCTCCAGTGATTCCGAGTTTCATTGTTGTTTTCTTTAGATTTATACTTGTCACTTTTTTTACCGTTCGAATTTTTCTTCGTGAAGTACAGATTGCGTGCCATACTTGTTCGGAAATATCATTGACACGTACGATGGGGACGAAACTTCTTTGGAGGGCATTCCTCCAACGAAATTGGCACTGCATACCCGCGAGTGCGGGATGGCATTTCAGTTCGTCCCATCGGCGCTGACACATGTAGGCATTTCTGGTACGAAAACAAACGCAGAGCGCAAGGCGGCAGTGTAGAATATGTCAGCCGTGCCGACACAGTGGCAGACATGATCGGGAGACCAAATTTCTCGCGTCGTACGGCACGGCTCCATTGTTGTTGCTGTCCCACAAAACATCGGCGAGGTGAAAAACTGTGATACTTTGTCTCCACGAGATACGACGAATAAATATTGGAGCACTTAATGACGGAGCACAGGCTGTGTCATTAAGCTGCTGTGAACCCAGCGCAACCGAACCACTCCGACTTCAATGCATACCAACGTACGCGGCGTGGTTTCGGTTTCGTTTTCCCTGGGGTTCTCACTGCCTACCTTCCGTACCGGCCGCGCGGCGGCGCGCCAGTCGCGTCGCACGGAGTGTATAGACCTTTTCCACAGGGGCGCCGCCATCTTGAATTGTCGTCACTTCCAGTATGGGCGACGACAAAATAGTAAAACGTTTCAACCTGTAACCAGTAAAAAAATAGAGCGGAGCCAAAACGAGAATGTGTGACGGTTAGGCTTATATCCTAAATGTGTTCTATTGGCGTGGCGACGGCAAAGTAATGTTTTCGCCCATACTGGAAGTGACGACAATTCAAGATGGCGGCGCCCTTGTGGAAAAGGTCTATAGGGGTGTGAAGTGTATAGGGTGCTAGGTGCAATGCACCCCAATCCAAGGGTGCTGATGCTGATTTTAATGGGTGCTCGAGGATGATTCATTCTAATCGAAATAGACTTTTGTAAAACAAAACTTATCTTATTTACACAGATGATCTCGTTACAGATGAGCACTTAGCCAAGCCGACACTTTGTACAGGCAGGCTGGCACTAAAAGTGGACTATTATCTAAAATTAGTTGATTAACTTTTTCAATTACTGGTTCGACAGTTGTTTCGAACTTGAAGACAATCACCTCCTTAACCAGTCAATTTTTTATAAATCCTGAAATGAGCACACAGGCCAAAAAAAATAAGAGAAAATATAATTTCACCAAAGGCAGCGGTAATGTAGCGGTCCAGAAAGTACTGTATCTCACAACCCGTTTTGTGCCCCATTTTCACAATATGTGCTGATGTCATCAAACCAGTCACTAAATAGCTAATCCATGGATTTTATGCAATAAGTCCACTTTTAGCTGTCATCTTGCCTCTATAAAGTGTCTGCCAGGACCACTATAACTCAACTGTAAAAAGATAATTTGCATAAAACTGAAGTTTTATTTTACAAGAATCTGTTCCAATGAGAATGAATCACCCTGTATCTCAGCACCTGTCAAACTGGGTTCAGTATACCAGGTATGGCAACCAGAAAACCACGAAGTATGCAGACCAGATAAGTGATGAAATAAGGAGATGCAAAAGTACAGTGCCAGCATAGGACCTCGTTACAGAAACTGGATTCATTATTTGATATGTGTGCAATGCATCGGCACACATGCTACTTGAAGCAGCTGTGCCTAGATGCACTCAGGGTGTCGAACCGGAACCGAACCGAACCGAAAACCGGAACAGAACCGTTATTTTTAGCCGAACCGGAACTGAACCGAACCGAAATCTTCGCCGCCATCTTGGAACTGAACCGGAACCGAACAAAAAAAAAATATAACGGTAACCGGTTCAAAAAGGTTCAAGGGAATATTTCTTTTTCTTCTTTTTTGTTAGTATCACAAAATGAACATATGGGAATGCAAAATTGGCGGCTGTATTTCTATCTATGGATCAAATCGTCATATACAGAATTGAAAAGTATGGTAAGTTGTGGGTTTTCATGGCACTATGATTAACCATGTGTCACGTTGTCACGTGACGCCATGGTGTCAATACATGTTGTCACGTGACCTCGTGACGTCACGTGAATCACTGCGTCAATTCGATTTAATTTGAGGAAATCACTAGGTGTATTAACATTGTTGACAGCATGACATAACATGACATCACGATTTCGCACCGAGAGTCACGTGACACCGTGACGTAAGCGATTTTCATAACCCCTAATCGAGAGCTCGGGTTCATGACAATCAGCACCGCCAAACATTCGGGTAAGGGCTCATGTCAATTACATATAATAATAGCCCAACTCTAACAATATATGAAGCTCAGCCAAAGCTTTTGCTTTCCAAACCCTAGCCGCCTAGAGCATGACTGTGATGAACACTGGCGGTATCAGATCACGTGGCCGCTTGTTTAAATTGCGAGTTGAGGAGGTATCGACAGCTGCATCTTTCCTTTATTTTTTCTGCATCTGCTATTAGGGGAAAACTAATGGATGTTTCCGCAAGCTATCAACATTAGGGGTTATTTCTTAACACTATTTATTGAAAGTACAAGAAAAAATGTTGCAAGACCCATTTTACATTATTGAGGCACCGAAATATTTTTTCGTTGTTGCTGAACTGCATTCGAAAGATGTACCTAAAAATAGAAGTACTAAAATTACTAAATGCGACTTATTAATATGGCGTTACATAGAACTATACGTGTGTACGGCAGGAATACAAAAAAAAAATATTTTAGTGATTTCAGAGAGACAGCCGAACGTTGGCCGTCGCTGTAAGTCCCACACGAGCATCGTTCTCAAGTTATTGCCCAAGTTTCGA